GCAGGAGGAGGATGGAGGAGGAGGAGGATGGAGGAGGAGGAGGAGGAGGAGGAGGAGGAGGAGGAGGAGGCGGAGCAGGAGAAGGATTGGAGGAGGAGGAGCAGAAGCAGCGGGGAGGGTAAGGAAGGGAGGACGGGCACGCTGGCCAGGCACTAGGCAGCGGCTGCTCCCAGAGGTAGTGCCACGCACGAGGGATTTGCGCCGGCACCAATTTACCTAGCTTCGGGACCGCGGTCCGCCACGGAGGAGGAGGAGGAGGAGAAGGAGGAAGAGGAGGAGGAGGAGGAGGAGAGAAGGATGAGGAGGAGGACGAGGAGGAGGAGGAGGAGGAGGACGAGGAGGAGCAGGAGGAGGAGGAGGAGGAGGAGGAGGAGGAGGAGGACGAGGACGAGGAGGAAGGAGGAGGAGGAGGAGGAAGAGGAGGAGGAGGAGGAGGCAGAAGCAGCAGGAGGAGGAGCAGGAGGGGTTTGGCTGGAGGGGCTGCGGGGTGTTGCGGGCCCACCCTCCTTTGGCAAGTTGGCCCCCGACGCCAAGCTGCTCGGGTTCGGAGGGGTACGAGAGCCCCGACATTGGCTACTGCTCCCACTTTTATGTCGGGCCTGCCGCCCTACAGGGGGATTTTCGACGAAGAATTATACATACCCCAAAAAGAATCAAAAAATAGTCGGGGGATTATTTTTGGAGTATTTCTTGACCTTTTTGGGTTTTTTGTAGGGTATCTCTTATTTTTCGTCGAAAATCCCCCTGTAGGGGGACACGCCCGACATAACCCTACTTGCATTCGCTCGGGCTGGCACCCTGGCGAAGTGCCCGATATCATCTTGTCTGTGACCTCTTGGGAAGTCGTGGGTGCCCTGCCCCAATGTAGCCGCCATCGGATGAGAACCCTCCTCCCCTGCCGTCTCCTAGTCACCCCACTCCCTCGGCACGCCTCGGCACCCCCTCCTCCGACTCCCACTGCAGTCCTCCCTATAGATCTCTGGACAGTCCCTGGACAGCTCGGGCAGCCGGACGGCCCCAGACCTCCGGACACCCAGACACCCATGACATCTTGGACATCCCGGACACCACCCGACCACCACCTGGACACATCAGAATCCGTATCATTGGCATTCTCTACTCCTGCCCGATCTGTCTGATGCTGGACGAGCATCGTGTGGCTTGGTTCTGCGAATGAGCGCCGAAAAAAACAAAACCACCTGGACACATCAGACGTCCTGACAGCACCCAGGAAGACCCGGACAGGCCAGAAAGCAGGACGGCCCAGACAGCCCCGCACGGCCTGGACAGCACGGCGCGCCGTCGTTTGTCTGCTCTGTTTGTTTGTCTGTCCGTCTGTTTGTTTGTTTGTTTGTTTGTTTGCTCGCTCGTTCGTTTGTTCGTTTGTGGTTTGTGTTTGTTCGTCGTCGTCGTAAATGTTTGCTCGTCGTATTCGTTCGTCGTCATCGTTGCGGTCATGGTCGTCGCCGACGTCCTCATCGTCTTCGTCCTCGTCCTCGTCAGCGGCGGCGTCGTAGTCAGTGCTCTTTGTCGTTGTCTTCCACGTCGTTGCCCTCCTCCCTGTGGTCCTCGTCGTCCAAGTCGTCGTCGTAGTCGTCAGCGTTAGGGTCGTCGTCATCGTTGCTCTCATCGTCGTCAGGGTCGTCGGCGTAGTCGTTCAACTCGTCCTCGTCAGCGCCGTCGTCGTCTTCGTCGTCGTCGCAAGCGTAGTTACTCATTAGCGCCCGCCTTCCCGACCCGCCCGCTGGGGCTCGCCCGCATGACCCGCCCGTCAGGATCCGCCCGCTCGACCCGTCCGCGACGTGTCGGTTGAATCACATCCCGCCCGCCCATCCAGCCCGCCTCTCATGGTCCGCCCGCTCAGGCAGCTTCTTAGGGCCCGCCCGCCCAGCCTGCCCGCGGACGGCCCGCCCGCCCGCTCGCTTCAGCGTCCCGCCTGCCCGGCTCGCCTGTTGGAGGTCCGCCCGGCCCGTCTGCCGGATCCGCCCGCCAGGGTCCAGAGCATGATCCACGAGGACACAATGACCCCAGGATGGTCCCAAGACTCAACGGCCCTTGTCCTCAAGATTGCCGCAGGATGACCCCCAAGGTGGCCCAAAAAGACTCAGCCGAGACCTTCGCACTTCGTCCTGGCGGTGGGATACTTCTGCTCGTCGCTGTCGTCGACCTCCTTGTGGCAGGATCGTTTTGCTCTTGCCCTTGCTCTTCCTGTTGGGGTTATTGTTCCCATTGTCCTGTCCTTCGGAGCGTCGTCGATGTCCTTCTCGCTGTCGCCGTCGTCGCGGTCGTAAGCATTGCCGTCGCTGTCGTCGATGCCATGGTCGTCGGCGTCGTCTTCACCGTCGTCGTTCTAGTCCTTCTCCTGTTGTCATCGTCGTCATCCTCACCGTCGTCGTCGGCGTCGTCGTAGTCGTCGTCCTCTTCCACGTTGCACTCGTGGCTGCCTTGTCTCCTTCATCGGCATCGTTGTCGGAGTCGCCGTCGTCTTCGCCGTCGTCTTTGAAGTCTTCGTCGTCTTCACCGTTTTCCTCGTCATCGTCATCGTTGCTCTCATTGCTGTCGTCGTCGTCGTCGTCGTCGTCGTCGTCGTCAGGGTCGCTGGCGCATTCATCCATCCGGTAGTCCTCAGCGTCGTCGTCGCAATCTCACTCGTTGGGGTCCGCCCGACGTCGCCCGACCACCCGCTCGATTGGCCGAAGGCCCGCCCGCCCGCTCGCATGCCTCTCCCGCCCAGCCCGCCCCTCGGGGGCCGCTCGCCCGACCGGGCCCCTGCTCGCTGCTCCGCGTCCCGCCCGCCCGCGTCCACGCCGCGCCCGCTCGACTCGCCCGCGAGTGTTCCGCCCGCCCGCCCGACCCGCGCGTCGGGGTCCGCCCGCGCCCCCGGACCCGCCCTCTGGGGTCCGCCCCCCCCCCGTTCCGCCCGTCCGGCGCCGCGCGCCTGCCCTCCCCCCCCCTCCCCGTGGGGCTCCGCCCGCTCGAGCCTCGGAGGCCTCACCCCCGCCAGCCAACGACGAGCCGCCAGAGCCGCCCCCGTCGGGGCCCGCCCGCTCGCCCCGGGTTGCGAGGGATCGCCCGCCCGACCCTCCCCTCGGGGCTCGCTCTGCCGGTTGCGTCAAGTCCCACCCGTCTGAATCAACATGCGTTCCGTTGACACGTAGTGCAACACATGACGTACAGCCATACGATGTACGCACGCGTGTGATCCCAGCGCGGGTCATGTAACCCTGTGGTGCCATAGTAGCATACGGTATCATATCAGATCCCAGAGTCGCACATGGTGGTATACCAGGCCTTACGCACATGCACCTTGCATTAACATGTGCGCATGGTCAAACGCCTGACCACCTGGTACCTCGCATTATCGCGCGTTGTGGCAACGCATGCTATATCGCGCACTGTCCCAATATGTTTCGCATCTTTGGATATCGCACCTTGGATTCGGTTTATGAGAACGGAAGAAGATGTTTCACCGGGGTGATGGGGGGGCGCACTGGTCTCCCAGGCATAACCCGTGCGGCGTTTCTCCCTCCCCAGCGCTGCCCACGCGCCAACGTCCCCCTCCCGCGACGGGCGTCGCAGCCCCCTGGGGCAATGCCTTCGACGCAGAGCTGGAAGAGCGCGGCGCCCCCCTTCCCTTCCCCCCCGCCACCCACTTCTCGCCCCCCCTCCCCCTCGCCTGGAATAATTCATATAACCCCAAGCGGGGTGGCACGTTGTGCCTACAAAGAGCACAGTGCCTGCGGTGCCTGCGGCGCCTGCGATCGTGTCAAGATGCGCTTGCGATGCCTGCAGCCTAGTATTTGACGCCCTGCGGTGCCTGCGCCGCGCCATGCGCGGTGCCTGCGCTGATCAAAACCCAGGCCCGCTGTGCCGGCTCCAATACAGCGACATCTAGATCCTTTTCAACAGGTGGATTGGGAAAGCGCTTGTTAGGGTCGGGAACTGCTGAATGGCGTGTCGCTCCGCCGGTTCTGGCCCAGCACACTTCGGTGCGACAAGCTGTCCACTTCGTGGCCCCGAGGCGTCCACGTGCAGAACTGTTCCGAGCTTCTCGTCCCGCGGAGCGGAGCGACACTCTACCCAACCGCAAGGCGCAGCGTGTCGCCAGGGCTGCCGGGGCGGCACGCCAGTTGTCCAAGAGCTTCTGACCGTAGGGTGCGCATGCCCGATCGGTTTGGGGCCACGGCGATTGCACTGCCGTAACCAGACGTCGTGACCCAAATCTGACCCGACACTCGAACCATGGCGCCAACAGAACCCCATCAAGCTTCAAGGCGAATCGCACGACCCAACACATGACACTTTACTCCAATCTCATCCTTTGATACGAAGCTGTTGCCATCAGGACCCTTAGACGGCTCCTGACATGGCGGTGACCCAAGGCGCAGTCGCGACTCCAACATATCCAAGACGAGCCGATGACCTCAGCACGTTGATAGCAGCCATCGAACACCGCTGCATATCGTTGTGGTCGTGCTGTGATATCTATGTTCGTCGTCGTAGACTTCTGCTTGTCGCGCTCGTCGTCGTCATCGTCCAGGGCGTCGTACCTCTCTTGTTCGTCGCCACCGACGTCACCGCCGTCGTCTTCATATTCGTTATCCACCACACTCGTCGCCACACCCTAGACGGCCTGGACACCCCGGACACACCCTGGACACCCCAGACAGCCAAGACAGACTGGACGCCCCGGGCGCCCAGGATGTCCAAGACACCCCAGACACCCCAAACACTGGACACTTCGAACACCACCCCAGACAACCCTGGACAATCTGGACATCCCACACAGCCCAGACAGCCCGGACACTCAGCCTGCAGATGATTGCACTCCTTACTTTTCCTGCCCCGCCCTTTCCTCTCTCCTTCCCTCTCCTCCATGCGGGAGGCGATGGGCCCCGCGACAACCCGGCGCCCTCAAGCGCCCAGAGCCACGTCGACTCCCTCCAGCGCCTGAGCGCGGGCGCGCCCCCCCCAGATCGTGGCAGCGCCGCCGCCCCGAGCGGTGGCCTGGTCCGGAGCGCCCTCGGCGCTCCCCCGCTGGCGCCGGCGGGCCGCAGGGGCCGGTGGGTGCACCTGCCATGCGCAGCGGGCTCTCCGGGCGTCCCCGCGAGGGGCTCCCTGGGCTCGGGCGCGGCGCCCCGGGCGGCGAGGCCGCCGGGGCAGCCGGCGGCGGCCGCGCCGGGCGCGGCCTCTCGCCAGGCCTCGCCGCTCGGCGCCCGGGCGCGGTCGGACTCCCCGCCCCGGGGCCCCAGCGCCGCCCTGCCCGCCCGTGGCCAGCTGCCCGTGCGCCTCGCGAGCCACGGGCCGCCCGCCGCCGCGGCCTCGAGGGGGGCGCCGGGCCAGGGCGCGCAGGGCCTGTCGGCGGCGGCCACGTCGGGCGCAGCCTCGCGCCTGGTCTCGCCGCTCGGCGCCCGGGCGCGGTCGGATTCCCCCCCCCAGCGGCCAACAGCCACCGCGCTGGCCCGGGGCCAGCCGCCCGCGTGCCTTGTGAGCAGCGGGGCTCCAGTCGCCTGTGCCGCTGCGCCAGCGAGCGCCGCTGCGGGGGCGCGGGCATGGACGGCGCTGCAGCCCGCACTCAGTGCGTCGGTCTCGCTTCTGGGCTCTGGGCAGCCCTGCATGGCTCGCTGGCGGCCTGAGAGCACCTCGGCGTGCGCGGCCCAATTCCCTGGACGACACGCAGCCCGCGCCGCAAGTGGCGGGGTGCCAGCGTCAGCTCTGCCTCGCCGCTCGTCCTCGTGTGGTGCGAACCCCCGCGGCACGCCCGTGCCGCAGCCGCATTGGGTGCGCACGTCGCAACCAGCAACAGTGCGGTGCTCTCGGCAGCCGTCTATGCACTACCTGGCGTCGGCAATTCCGACGCCACGCCCCCTCGGCTCCATGACTCTGCAGGAGCAGGGGCCTGCGCCACTGGGCCTGCAGCCCGCCGCCACAGCGCCAGCGACCCCAGCGCCTGCGTCGGGGCCTGGCCTCCAGGCTCCGCGGGATCCCACTGCGCCGCAAGCGCAGGGCGACGGCGGCGTGCAGCATCGCGCTGGGCAGACAGGACCGCTCGGCGAAGGAGCGCCCGTGATTGGCAGCGCGCAGGTGCTCGGAGGTGGTCTGCAGGTGGGCTACACGTGAGAGTGACCTTCCGCTGGAGTGAACTTTGGTGCGAGCACGTTGGGGTCCCCAGCTGACTGAACGCGATGCGATGGCAGCGTCTTGCGCGCTCGAGTTTGGCCTCCCTGCGGCCCCCGAAAGTCTCGCACCAAAGGTCACTCTTGCCTAGGGTCACTCTTGTGCGTAAGCCGAGCAGGGCCTCGCGGCGCAGGTGGCCCACGCGCCTGCTCAGTGCGCAGAAGCCCTGCAGGGCACGCGGCCAGCACGCCCCGACCCGCCACACGCCGCGGGGGACCCACGGGCCAAGGACCCGGCCGCTGCGGGGGGCGCGGAGGCGCTGCTGCTCTCCTACGCGCAGCTGCCTCGCGCCGAGCCTGGCGAGGGCCCGGCGCAGGAAGCGCCTGCGGAGGCCATCCCTGCCGACACAGCCCGAGTGTCAGAGATGCCTTTGCACTTCACGGCTGGGGAGCTTCTGGACGGCGTGTCGCTAGCGCCAGTTCCGGCCCGCCACGCCTCGGAGCAGCGCGCTAGCCGCTTCCCGGCCGCCCGGCGTCCACGTCCCGAGCTCTCCCGAGCCTCCCGCCCCGCGGAGGGGAGCGGTACGCTATCCGCTCGCATGGCACAGCGTCCGCCGTGGCGACGCGCTATCCAAACGTTTCCGATCGCAGCCCAACTGTCGAAGATGATTGCACGCACTTTAGTCTTCCACAAGGGCACCCGTCTCCTCACTCCAGACCCCACCTGGGCCGTAGCTGGCCCCATCCGGCCTGGGGCGTGATCTTCCTAAAATTGCCATGCGGGCCACGCGCGCATTCCCCTTGACAAGTGACACAGTGCTGGGCACACCCGCGCACTGAACGGGCACGATTCCTGTCAAAAGATGCCGTGCGCGCCACGCGCGTGCCCCACCCCTCTGTCGCCGTTATGTCATCGCTTCGCGCACTCCGCCAGCCCATAATTGCGTGCAGTTGTCGACTGACCGAGTGGTCTTTCGCGGTGCGGAGCTGCAGAGGCGGCGGCTGTTTTTTTATCAGGCTTTGCGTTCGGCATGTGAGGCTTCTTGGTGGCCGCTGGGGGAGTCTTGAACGCGTCGCAGGCCGTCTGGAAGCGTTTTGCCAATGGGGACTCTTTCGGGAGGCCTCTTGGTGGTCTCGTGGGGACTCTTAAACGCGTCGGGTCGTTGGCACTTGCTTGCGTGCTCGGGGGGGGCATTTGGGGGGCCTCCTGGGGCCGCTTGGGGGCCTCTTGGGGGCCTCCTGAGGGCCTGTTGGGGGCATCTTGGGGCCTCTTAGGGGCCTCTTGGGGATTCCTGGGGGCTTCTTAGGGCCGAGGGCTCGAAATGTTGTTTCGTGTTCCCCCCATGGGACCTCTCTTGGGGCGTTCTTGGGGCCGTCTTGGAGGCCTCTTGGGCCGTCTTGGAGGCCTCTCGGGCCGTCTTGGGGCCCTCTTGGGGCCTCTTTGTGCCCTCCTGGGGCGGTCTTGGGGGCCTCTTGGGCCGTCTTGGGGTTTCGGGACGCCGAAAAGGTAGAAGCGCCAGAATCTTTCCAAAACCTTAGGAACAAGCAATGAATTTTGCCCCTTGGGGGCCCTCCTGGGGCCGCCTGGGGCCTCTTGGGGGCCTCCTGGGGCCTGTTGGGGGCGTCTTGGGGCCTCTTAGGGGCCTCTTGTGGACTCCTGAGGCCTTCCTAGGGCCGGGAGCTCGAAATGTAAATTCTTCACGCTTCGCGTATCCCCACCAGCCCATCTCAAAACAGCAACTCTTGCGAAGCATGCCGACAGTCGTGTTTTTCAGGCGTGTTTCCGCCTGCCCCCGCATATCTCCGGGCCTCTCGTCCTGGTGTGAGTCGTTCGGGCCCTTCTTCCTGGTGTGAGTCGTTCGGGCTCTTCGTCGTGGTTTGAGTCGTTCGGGCTCTGCGTCCTGGCGTGAGTCGTTCGGGTTTCTCGTGGTGTGAGTTGTTCGGGCCCTTCGTCCTGGTGTGAGTCGTTCGGGCTCCTCCTCCTGGTGTGAGTCGTTCGGGCTCCTCGTGGTGTGAGTCGTTCGGGGCCCTCGTCCTGGTGTGAGTCGTTCGGGCTCCTCGTGGTGTGAGTCGTTCGGGCGCCTCGTCCTGGTGTGAGTCGTTCGGGCCCCTCCTTGTGGTGTGAGTCGTTCGGGCTCTTCGTGGTGTGAGTCGTTCGGGCCCCTCGTCCTGGTGTGAGTCGTTCGGGCTCCTCGTGGGGCCTCTTGGGGGCCTCTTGGAGCCTCTTGGGGCCTCTTGGGGGCCTCTTGGGGGCCTCTTGGGGGCCTCTTGGGGGCCTCTTGGGGCCTCTTGGGGGCCTCTTGGGGGCCTCTTGGGGGCCTCTTGGGGGCCTCTTGGGGCCTCTTGGGGGCCTCTTGGGGGCCTCTTGGAGGCCTCTTGGGAGGCTCCTGGGGGCCTCTTGGGGCCATCTTGGGGCCTCTTGCGACCTCCTCAGAAGCGCAAAGGAGCGCTGCCCCCTGAGAAGGACAAAATGAGCCCAAAACCTTAGTAAAATCAATGATTTTGCTATGAAGGAAGATGAGCGCGGCCCCCTCAGAAGGCCAACATGGGGCCAAAACCCTAGTAAAATCAATGATTCTGGCTTCAAAGAAGAGCAGAGGGGCCAAACTGCGTCCCCCTGTCGGGGCCAGAATCCTCGTGAGGGTCGTCGTTTTTTGGCCCTCCCAGGAGTCGAAAAAGACCCCCCTGACACCACCCGGGACTCCCTGTCCAGGTCCAGGGGGAGGGGGTAGGGGGAGGGGTAAACCCCTCCCCGAAGGGGAAGATAGGGGGTTAGGGGGTTGAGAACAGAGAGAGCTCGCTAAACCACTCACGCCCAAAGGGCTGGTGGGATTCGTGTTCCCCCCCTGGGACCTCTCTTGGGGCGTTCTTGGGGCCTTCTTGGGCCGTCTTGGAAGCCTCATGGGCCGTTTCGGAGCCCTCTTGGACCGTCTTGGATCCCTCTTGGGGGCCTCTTGGGCCCTCTTGGGGCGGTCTTGGGGGCCTCTTGGGCCGTCTTGGGGTGCCGGCAAGCCGAAAAGGTGGAAGCGCCCAAATCTCTCCCCAAACCTAGGGGAAAGCAAGGAATCTTGCCTCCTGGGGCCCTCTTGAGAGTGCTCTGGGAGGCGTGTTGGGCCGTCTGGGGGGCAGCTTGTGCGTCTCGGAGCGATCCTGTGGCATCTTGAGGAGCTCTCTCTTGTATCACCTCGAGGGGCTCCCTGGCTGGCCTCGAGGGTGGCGCCCGGGAGGAACACTGCTCCAGATCTCGTGATAAAAGGGAGGGGGTCTGGACCCTCCAAGACGAGCCATTTCAGACCTCCCCCGCGGGAGAACCCTCCAAAACATCGCCCCCAGACCCCCCCGGTCCTCCAAGATAGCCCGGAAGAGACCCCCCCCGAAATGAGACCCCCCTCCCTTTCTTACGAAATCTGGAGCATCTCTGATCCGCAGCGCCGGGGACCTGCCCGGGGTAGTTTTCTTCCGGGGACCCCAGGGGCCGCCCCGCGCGCGCTAAGTAGGGCAATTGTAAAGCATTTACTGGAGATCCCAGCACGCCTCTGGCCCGTTGGGCCGGCGAACTCTCCAGATGCGCGCAGGAGTTCATAAACTTACACGGACTTCTGTATGGACTGATTGTAAGACTTGACACGTGCATACGCGTGACGACGCATCCGCGCTAGCGGGAGGATGCAACCATCACTCGACGCGGACATCCTTATTTGTTCCGACCTTTTTCTGAGGGGTTCCCCTTCTGTGAGTGTCTTAGCACGAACGAATCGGAGCCACTGAATACGAGTGGGTCTGAATGTAAGCAAGTATGGGGTATAAGTGGGCCTCCCCTGGCGGCTCCTGTCTCGGATGTCCAAATGCCATGCCTGCTAAACTGCGCTTGCCAAGGGCCTTCACATATGAATCGTCTACTGGACCGAAGCAGGCGCTTCGTAAGAGGCTGCCACAATCTGCGCGCCAACGGGCCCATGTCATACTCCTCGGCAGCTCCCCCTTGGGATGTTCAACTGCCATGCCCAAGAGCAGCTCCGTCAGGCCTCCAAACTGCTTACGAGGATCTTAAAGATGGTCAAGGACAGCATCCCAGGGACCCCGGCAGACCCCCACCCACGCTCCCGAACACTCCCGCCGGAACCTGCTCCTCCGTCCTCTCCCTGCTGCCTGCCCAGGCCAGTCCCACGGAGCTCCCTCCCCCCGTTCCCCGGGTCCCCGGCCCTCGAGGCCCTCGAGGCTCCCGAGGAGGCACCCAACCACGCTCCGCAGCCCTCCCGCCAGAGCGTGTGTTTCCGCACACATCCTGCCCAGGGCAGCCCAACACTGGCCGGTGCTCAAGCGGATTGGAAACACCGCGCCGGTTCTTGCAGCTGGGGGCCCAGCGGGAGCCAAGCGGTGACGGGCCGCCCAGGTGGCAATGCGACCTAGCGCATCCTCCTCCACTCCTTCTTCTCCTATCCCGTGCCTTTCTCGTCGCGGATGGGGCCGACGAATGGTCTTGCGCTGTCCGTGAGGACGCACCTTTTTCTAGTGCAGCCTGTGACCGGGGTGAGTCTTGTTGGTCCACAGGCACTGCCCCGGTCACGGGCTGCAGCGGCGTTGGGTATTTTCCGGAACCTCGAGGTTCCGAGCCTGGTGCCACACATAAGTTTACATATAACATATCATACGCGCGTCTTTATTGCGGTTCGCAGCCGTGTTCTGAGATGTGTGTATATGTGTAAACATGTGCGTATAATACATACATCACGATTGGTGTGAAGATTGTTGCTCTAGGGGACCCTTCAGGAAGTCCTCTTGGAGCCTTCTTGGGGCGTCTTGGAGGCCTCTGGAACCGTCTTGAAGCCATGCTGGGCGTTTTGGAACGATCTGAGGCTGTCTGGGGAGCCTCTTGGATTGTCTTGGGGTTGGAAGGAAGAAACCAAAGGGACGACAGCCTCTCCAACTGGGGGGGGTGCTCCCCCCCAGGAGCCTTAATATCCCCGGGGCCCGCCTCTGGGATCCCCCCTTTCGAATCAACGACGCCAATGTTGGATGCGTTTTGAGCTGACGTGCCCGAGGAGGAAAGGTGACCACAGAGGGGAGGTGAAAGAAGGTGAAAACCACGGAAACGCAATCCACGGACACGCGAAGCCGTCTTCCCCTCACGCACGCCGACAGGGTCGGCGGATTTTAACTGCACCTTATTGTTGGTGTCAGGGATCGGTCAGGGTCTTGCAGGGCGCACACGTTTCAAGGGGCGCGGGGATGCCAGGGCATCGCCCTGCAGCGCTCAAGCGCCCACACTGGCACGCACGCGCGCGACTCAATGCGCGAATGGAATTCCAGACGCACGCGAGCTCAGGAGGGCACTGAAATACAGGAAACAGAAAATTATAGCCAGAGCGCAGTCTCCCCAAACAGCGTTTTT